TCCAAGGTATTTAACCTTTATCCACAGTTCCCTTTGACACCGCGCCAGAGTGCATGAAACAGCCTCAAGGTCATGCATATTGCTTCTAAACTGTTTACTTTCCAGCAATGAAGACAGAAGATGAAGAGACTCTTTTCTTTTATTAAATCAAAGAACTCCATTTTCAATAAAGCTAATTAAAACAACTGTTAGTCAATAATACAATGTGACCGATCTGTGAAATCACAATATTATGATTAATATGTTTTAATAAGTAATATGACTTAATCTAGTTCACTAGACACACTGACACACGTAAGGAAAACAATCACATGACACATTGCTGTACTGATCCAATCAGAACCTTCCTATTCTGAAGCGTGGCAGAGTCTCTGTGGTGTTTATTAAATCTGTCAGCTTTGATTCGTCCAGAATCAAAAACGTCCAGATTAATAAAACTGTTCCAACGCCATCTTAAGTTCAGCTCTCAAGATCTCGTTCTCAAGATCCCATGAAGTTCACCACATGTTAAGTGAAGTATGGACAGGCCATCTATACTTCTCTTTTTAAGCGGAGAACCATTCAAGCTGGGAAAATTTCATGGTTGCCAACCAAGCAACGGTACCTTTCAGAATAAAAGCTGAACTCGCTGACCCAAGGAGGGTCCCCTTTTGACGCTTTGAAACACCTGTCGCTTTTTTCCTGGAGACTATCCAAAGACTGGTTTGTCGTACTGTCGACGCTGTTTTATCGGCTCCAGTACCAGCGGAGGGTCTGTGGACCTGGCATCCGGATCTGTACGGAGGTCTCACTGAGGGTATGTGGATGCGACATAAATGGCGTCTCATGTGTTTATGACTACGAGTCTCAAACTCTGATCAGTTAGGAGCAAAACATAATCTTCCACTCAGACTTTGTTTCTCCGGATGCGAAGGTTCTGAATTTGACACTCATTCACCTCACACTTCATTCAAACAGGGCATCCATCATTAGAGAGTTAGTCTTGTTAAATTGTTTAAAATTATTTGGTTATAAATTTCCTTAAACGTTTGAAAGTCTCTCTCTCTTCTCTTGTCTCTCAGTTAATACAAAGTGTTATTTAAAAATCCCTGCATTAAAAAGATCCAATCTTCTGATTTAAATAACCCAGTGTCCATAGGATGGATTTCATACTCGATATGAAATTTAATGTCTTATGGTCCTTAATTAAATGTAATTAACATCTATCATTACACCTGCCAAGCCATCCTGTAGATTAAGTGAAAATATGGTCTACACTCTAATCTAGTACAACAAATCATTCATATTAATATTTACTATTTAATCATACAATAAAAACAGTTAAAGCTATTCATATTTTCTCCCATTATTATCTTTTTTTGTGTGTTTGTGAAGCAACTTGTGATTTTTATCTAGAGAGGAGCTTTATAAAAACATGTTCTACTCCGAAAATGCATGGAGGAAATCTGTTGGTAGAAATAGCTTTTAAATGTATTAAATAAAAAATAATGCACACAGTTTCCCCTGCATTACCAAGGCAAACCAGGCTTTAGAAACCAGCCTGAACCTGCTCCGAAGTGGGAGGAGTCTCTCTCTCCCTTACTCAACTACGTTCTCTCTCTTTGTCCCGGGCTCACCTACGGTGCCATTATTATCGGCTCTAGCAGCGCTGTGTGTGGGAACATAAAACAGGGAAATAACCTGAACATGCAGCTCTGGCAGCTGTGGAGTTGGGCTCGGCTCTGGACGGTACACCTCACCCCCTTCACCCGTGCTGGCTTTTGCGGCCGCCATAACACAGGGGGAAAACCCCGGATGTAAAAATAAAAGTTACACAACTGATCCTGGATCAGTCAAAACCGCTAAAACCGCAGCTTTGATGGTCACGTTATTCGTGCTGTTTGAAATCGAAATTTCAGTCCAAAAACGATAGACCGTTCAGCCCTAGTGAGCAAAATATAAACATTAAATAGATTAAATGAAAAAGGAAAGCAGGAAGAATTTTTTTTTTCCGTTTTTACATTTTTCATTTCTTCATGATGTTTGCTTACACTTTTTTTTCAAGGAAAGAAAACTGCGCGTGCTCAGCCTATTTCATCTGATTGAATACTTGGTGCATATAAACTCACGGCATGATCAGATGATTTAAGTTAGTGTGCAGGTAAACAGAGGTTCGGGATTTCCGATCAACCAAGATTTGAATCGGATTGGGGAAATCCGACACACGTAAACATGACAAATGAAACCGGGGATAACAGTGAACTACTTTTTTAATAATCATTTGCAGTTGTTCCTTTTTTCCCCTCTTTTCTCCATTGTTCCATTATTATAGCAGATCCAAGACGTTAGAGAGAGATGGTTCATTCCCACAAAATAAAAATCTACCACAAAGAAGATGGAACATTTTTCTCTAAGAGAGACATTACAGCCATGATTACATTTTACTGAACAATGCCAAAGGTGGTGTCCGAGTAAGACTTTAGATTGAGTGCTGATGTGGAGATCTAGCAGAGATACAGGCATCTCCTCCACTCAAGCAATCCCTTAGGGTAGAGAAACGTGGTTGCCAGTAAATGGCTCTCGCTCTCGCTCTCCTCCCCACTCCTTGTGCTCATCATCCCTCTAAATTCCTGCCACAACACTTCAAATCTTATCAAAATGCCAGTCTGCCTTCTGACTGTGGGGAATAGAATTCATCAGCGAGCACATTTGCCTAATCTGGAATTCCCTCCTCCCCCCCTTTTATTTTTATTTTACTTAAATAGATTAAAGATGTATTTTTTATTTTTATTTTTTACAGAGAATTAGGTTGTAAGAAAGACTCCAATGCTGGACACGCCTTGCAGGAGCCGTACCCCAAAAGATTTACGGTTGAACTGCACTGCTTCAAGCGTGGATCTATGAAGATTTATACCAGATTAACCGCAGAAAAAAATAACAATCACAGCACTTTACACTCTGGAGGGGTCTTTTAAGGGGATTGATTTACAACAAAGGAAGTAGCAGTCATTTTGTTCCACAGATCACAAGACAGCTTTCAATTTCAAAGATGAAGCACTGTGTGTAAAAGAGCAAGAATTCTAGTAACACATTTGATATCGGGTAATTGTTATGTTCTCTCACCTAATGTTTCCTGGCAGCAGTGAAGGGCCCTTTAATATTGGAAGCTGAACACTACAAACAAGTCTGAATTCCAAAATATGTGTGAACCATCAGTAGACAGAATGGCCTTCATCCAGTCTTTTCTTCTGTGACACAAACCCACTCATTCTCATCATTTTCAGAAGACAATACCTTTCAAAATGTCAGAAATCAAGAAGCTCTCAAATCACAAACCTAACTGAAGAGACAAGAACCAGGCACAGTGATTTAGCTGTTACATTTACTCCTTTATGATAAAGAGAGCCATCTTTAAGTCATGAAATAAAGAAAACATAATGAAATTAATCAAAAATTAACTAACTGTGAAGAGATTCTACTTCACACAACTTAACATAATAACAGAATAATGTGGTTCCGGGTTCATGGTCAGGTTATGCATTCTGTAAGTGCAGATTGTTGCATTAAGCTGCAATTTTGCACATAAGAAAGCATTTGTATCTCTGGGGAACATTACTTCCTCCCAAGCAGCTAATGCATATATCATAGGTTCAAATCAGTAACTAGAAACCTCAGCCTGCTGTGAGAACAATCAAAGCTGAATTCACAACAGCAGAAAGCGCAATAAATGTAGTTTTTCTTTTATTTAGCTCCAAATAATACATAGCAGGATAAAATAAAGTTGAAAAAACTGTATATTGGATTTTTTAAAGGCAATGATTTCATGTTTCTCTGAAGGGGCTGCAAAGGGTCTTTAAATCAATGAACCCAGATGTTTTAAATGGACTGTTACACTTACAGTGTGAAAAAAGTGTTTTGCCCTTACATATTTGCGACATGGTCACACTTCAAAGTTTCTGATCAGCAAAAATATTTCAATATTAGTAAAGAAAACATAAACAAAAATAAACTGCTGTTTTCAAATGATGACTTGTTTTAATAATGGAAAAGGCTATGCAAACCAACCCGGGGCTGGCGCTCGACTTCCCTGCCCCTGCCCATTATAATAGTGGGCCACATATAAAACGATCAAATGCAACAAAAAGACGTGTCTCACACTAGAAATCTGAATTAAAAAATTTGAATGATTCTGGGAAAAACTGAAAACTAGTCCTAGTTCCAATCAACGCTCGATGCCCAACCCGACTTATAATAAACTAATTTCTGTAGCAAGTTTAAGCATGACGCAAACCATTAATCTGACATCCCATCATTTACTTCCCAAAATGGACACTAATTTGCTCATATTGATCCAATATGTACACTTCAAGTGATACTGATATGCTCCCAAACACAGAAACACACACATACAGATAGACAGACTGCACAAGATGGAAAGAGAAGAAGCTTAACATCCATTAATGCACAGCAGATGGGACTTAATCCTCTTCTTTCTCATTGGGATTGTTGCTTCTTGCAAGGCTGTGTTCATACTCTCCTTTCTTCTTCCTTATAACTGCTGTACCCAAGTCTCCCAAAAGAACGTATCTGAATGCAGGTCAGAATTTGCCATAAAATAATCCCTATTTACAAATCCTCAGACAGAAGTCACCTTAATTCCCCCACTGTGACAAAAAGCGGAAACAGACCCCTGCAGCTCGCAGTACTCTGAATACATAAAAAGCTCTGGTGTCTATCAGCTGTAAAGAAGTTCTTCTAAAAAGCAGCGAGGCATGCCTATTCTTAGTAATTATTATGTTTAACAATTATCTAATTGGTAAATCAAAGAATGCTTTTATTTCTAATTAAATTAGCACAAATCAAACCTAAAAAACCATTAAAACAGAAAATGTTTGTGCTTTTTTGTTCTAACTGGAGTATGAAGTATGAAGTATAAGTGTAAAATATAGCAGATAGATCAGAGATGCTGTGATGCATTACCGTAGTTGTTTAATATTTATCCCAGATTGGTGTGTTCTCACCATACTGTTGATGCCATCCAGTGTGTGATTGGCACTGTAGAGGGAGTAGGTCAGCTGGTAGACACCATCGTTGGTCTGGCTGTTTCCATAGAAACCCACTCCTACAGCAGAACTGTGAAAGGCAGCAATCCAAATGAAACAAGTTAACAGATTGCTGCATTTTACTTATTCAGTTTTCACTTGGACTGGATTACAGAAACACTAATATGTATAAAATTGTAGAATTAATAATTAATCAAATGAAAAGTGACTGTTTTTGTCATTTCACGTAAAAAAAAACCTTTAAGTCTCATGAGTCACAAAGCAAACGCTGCAAATATGGCTGAAATCAGTTTGACATCTAAAAAAGATGCCTGAGTAGGATGGTGTCAGTACTCTAACTCTGAGCCTCCACAAGAGGAAGGATTAGTCCTTAGATCCTCTCATCCCCACCAGTGTATGAATGAGTGTGTGAATGGATGAATGATACACTGTAGTGTAAAGCGCTTTGGAGTCCTTACTCTGAGAGGTGCTATACAAGTGCGGGCCATTTATCATTATCAATCATCCCTGAAGTCTGAAGAAACATTTCACTATTCAGAGCAGGAGTCACCAACCTTTGTGCAGCAGAGAGCTACTTCACGATAACTGAGCCATATGAAGGGCTACCAGGTTGACACATTAAGTTTGGTTTGTGCACAATACTGACCTTTGACCTAGAGTAGCTTTGAACTTAAATAAACTTCATGTATAATAAACATATTTTAAGGCTTTTTAACAGTATAAATTCTAACTCTATATCAATTCAACTGTAATAAAAAATGTTCCTTTCTCTTTTTGGGCTTGTCCCTTTAGAAGTCACCACAGCCAATCTCCACTTAGTCCTGTCTTCTACATCATCTACCCTAACACCAACTAACATCATGTCCGCTTTCTCTTTTTTGGCCTTTCTCTCAGTCTCCTGCCTGGTGACTTCAGCTTCAGCATCCTTCTGCCCGTGTCATCATTGTCTCTCCTGTGGACATGTCCAAACCTGTTGGTCTGTCCTTCCTGATTTTTTCTCCAAAACATCTAACATGCTGTCTCTCTGATGGACATTCCTGATCCTTTCCATCCTCCTCACTGCCAAAGAGAACCTTAACATCTTGAGCTCTACCCATGCCAACCCGTTTCGCACTTTTCCACCCTCTCTGTTGCTTTGGACCATAAAGCCTAAGTCCATTAGGTTCTCTACTGGGCCATTCCCATCTGTACCGGGTCGGCCCGGGCCGGGTAGCCCCAGTCGGCCCCAGCCTGGCCCGGTTGATTCCACACATCCTTGTCTTAAGCCCATGTGGGCTGATTCTACCCACCAATCAGAGGCTTGCTCTAATGGAAGGTGTGAATTTGCTGTCAGCAGTGGGTGTGTCGGCCCTGGTCGGCCTGAAGCAGACTCCCTCGAGAAGAGGGTTGAGAATGAGCCTTGGTTGGCCCGGAAAAATACCAGGCCACCCAGATATGTAAACAACCTACGCTACCCGGCCCGGGCCGACCCGGTACAGATGGGAATGGCCCATACCTTTACTTCTACTCCCTGTAACATCACCATTCCAGTTGTGTCCCTCTCATTTACACACATGTATTCTGTCTTCATTTCTTTCTTCTTCTGTACATATCTCCACCTCTCTAGCTCTTCCTTCTACTGCACCATGCTCTCACAGTAGATCACTATGTCATCTGCAAACATCAAAGTCCAGGGAGACTCCTGTGTAACATCTTCTATCAGCCTGTCCATAACCAAAGAAAACAAGGAGGGGCTCAGAGCAGATCCTTGATGCACTCTCACCTCCTCCATCACTCCTGCATCACACACCTCACTGCTGTCTCACACCTCTGATACATTGTAACAGACCATGTCTGTTTGTGGCCACTAGATGGCCTCAGCACGCAGCCAGCGCAGCTGTAGGAAATTCTAATCAAGGTGCTCCCTGTTAAAAGGAAGCACCTGGCAATGTGTAGGGGGAGAGAAACCAGATGAGAGCAGGCACGGAGGTGTTTGTTCTCCTCTCTCCCTCTTTTGACTTTAGCAGCAGCAGACTTTAGCGCAGCTTGTGGTTACCCGAGTGATTTTGATCCGTTCTAGTGAACCACCTTCATTTGTTTATCTATTTAGTATCGTCCTCGATAAAGAGGGACTCGGCTCACCCTTTTGGTGACGGTTTTTGCATTTGTTGTAGTTTTCACCCAGTCTTATGTGCTTTGTGTTTATTAGCGCTCGTTTAGTTTGCTATTGGTCCTTTGTTTATTATTCCCCAGTTTTGGATGACCATTTGTGTTTTTGTGTTAATTCTATTTATTCCTTCCAGCCCAGAGAGCTGTTTTCTTTAATAAACTCCCTTTAAGAGATTTGGTTTGGTTCTCTTCACAATTCATTTTCTTTACTCCCTCCTTAACCATCATACTCCTAGTAGAGCTGAGGGATGGAAAATACATCTTCTGCACAACTTTGAGTTACTTCTCTGCCACTCTAGACCTCGTCATTCACCCCAGCTCCTCTCTCAGTACCGTTGTAGGCTTTCCCTAAATCTACAAAAATGCACATCTGATCTTCTCTGTTGTTCTCCATGAGTATTCTTAAAGCAAATGTAGTATCTGTACTACATTTTTGTGGCATCAAACAATTCTGCTGCTCTCTAGTGCTTCCCTCTGACCTAACACTACATGTCACCACTCCTTCCCAAAGCTTCATTGTATCAATCAATAGCTTTATTTTTCCTGCAGTTCCTATAATGTTGTAAACCATCTCTGCTGCCGGTGTTGGGAAAGTTCGTTTAAAAAAAACAAAGTAGTTCAAAGTTCAATTCATACATTTTAAAACAAACTAGTTTGTTTCTTAGTTCATAATTTAAAACATTTTGAACTAAGCTCACAGTTCCAAAAACAAACTAGTTTATATAGTTATTTTGTCTCATCTATACACACACACACACACACACACACACACACACACACACACACACACACACACACACACACACACACACACACACATATATATATACATATATATATATATATATATATATATATATATATATATATATATATATATATATATATATATATATTATTTATTTATATATATTATTTATTTATATATATAGCACTCATGCAGTCCACACTCATGCCCAGCTGCATTTGTTACCCTACAGTATATTCTGCAAAGGCAGATCTGTGGTCCCTCACACTCTCTATTGGACGCTCCTACAGAGAAACCTTACATAAACAAGCGCGTGTACACACACAGGTGCTCACATGGTGCTCTCAAAAGTATGGGCTTGGACACGTTCAACACGTCTTAAGGCTGTCGTTGCCACTAAATGCACTATGATTTATTATCGTGATTGTTCAGTTAAACAATGTTGATTTTATATTTCATCATCATGTTAACACAGTGATAGCTTGCTCCTGATGTATTGTTGTGTGTCCCATTTTTTTCTATTCTTTCTCTTTCTGCAGGTCTAGAAGCAGACTCTTGTTCATTATTGTTTATTTTTGTGGACCCCCCCCCCCCCACACACACACACACACCTTTTGTCTTTTCCTTTCTCTTTCACCTCTGACTCGGTGTCTGGTCGGAATTACAAAGCATTCAATAACAATAACAATAAAGTTTAAAGTATCAGGCGTGACTAGTGTTGTCACGGTAACCGGTATAGCGGTAAACCCCGGTAAAAAAGTTGACAATAAAAATAACCGTCCAGTTTTTAAAAAACTAAATTATCTCGGTGGGTTTACCGTGGCCGCGGTTTAGGCGCGGTGACCCTTACCAGCCACCGTCGCTTCAGCTGAAGTTCCCGCGCACACGCACTTTTTAGTTTGCAACCAAAACTTTGAAGCTGAAATAATGGCCGAAGGAGGAGACGGCAGCGCCCAGGACATCCATCAGCCCTCAAAGAAGACTAAATCGGAAGTATGGGCATATTTTGGATTTCTGAAAACGCTGAGGGACAGTTAATAGAAGACGGCTATCCCGTTTGCAGAACGTGCAGGAAACAAGTGTCTGCAGAAGGCAGCAACACTTCGAATCTAATGGCACATCTGTGTGACCATCACCCACGTCTCTACAGCCAGTGCAAGGTAAGTTAACATTAGCATTTTAGCTTAAATGCATGACGTGAGGACTTTTGGTTGAGGGAGAATGCAACGAGTCACTATATACTGCAGCCGCAGCGTCCTCTGCCAGCATTTAAACCGTGTCACGGACACCCTGTTGCTGGATGAAGCATCTTATTTGTTGATGATGAAGAGAAATATACAATTAGTTCCTTGTCATTGATTTGTTTACTTATTCAATGCCATTTATACTTGAACATTTGGATTTGATTACATAGTGTAGTAGTTATTTTAGTAATTTGTTTAAAGTGGATATTTATTTTAAATACATATTTTTTAAGGTTGACTTGTACGGTGCTCAAGTCAAGTGTGGACTGGAGTTTTAGATTTTCATTTTGATAATGAAGAAAACAAGTATATGAGAAAACAAGTGGTGTTTCTTTGATTTGTTTACATATTGTTTATGTTTTGAATGTTTGGATTTGTATAATTTAAACCTGCACTGACTACTGTAACATGTTCCAGAAAAAGAAGCTATTTGTTCCTTTACTTGTGAAAAGTTGCACTTTTGCTGAGGCTTTGTGTTATTTTAGCTTTAATAAACACTGTTAAACCTTTTCAGAACTATTTCAGTTTGTGTAGAACAGGACTATCAATGCTTTCTGAACATATGCAACACCGTTTAAAAAATACCGCGATAATACCGAAAACCGTGATAATTTTGGTCACAATAACCGTGAGGTTACATTTTCATACCGTGACAACCCTAGGCGTGACATTAAAAGTAGAGACTTTGATGCTCCACCTGACAGTAAATCTGTAAGGCTTGTCACCAGCATTCAGACGTCTATTCTGTTTGCTTCCCAGCCAGACAGGACACGGGGGGGGGGGGGGTCCTCACTTTTTTAGCACTCAAATTCAAATATACGTACGCAGCCAAACTTTCATTCTTCTGTTGCACATTTGGCAGTCACTAATTCTTTAATTTGGGCTCTCCTGTGTTCATTTTGTATTTCTAATAGAAACCACTGCCTGCTT